TGCTTCGTTGGTTCCATCTATATCAACTGTGAAGGTTAGCCTTTTTCGTCATTACTTTTCGAATAGTTCATACTATATTATTGTAAAATTTATTAATAGCACCAATTGCCAAATATAAGAAGTTATTTTCTACTTTAGTCTAATGGTCATTATAAAGAGAAATTGAGAGGAAATACTGTTTTGAATAGTGATTACTTAAAGAATATGTGGTTAAAAAGTAAGGAATTTTTTTGAATTTTACATATAGAATATTTTACTGTGAATGTATGCTTAAAGATGAGTACAACTAGATTTATAACAGTGATTTGTCTCAGCAGCTCCCGATAAGGTTCATCAGCGGTCGACGGATAAATCTGCATGTATAAAAATTTTATCTTGGAAGGGGATTTGTGACACATGTTATTAAATACATATTAACATAATTTTGTTTTAGTAAAATATATACCTCAAACAAATTCCGCATTAGCCGGAATCAAATCTCAAATCGATTAAGAGGGTAGAGAAAAAACACATTGTCATTTTCCATTTCACTTCCCAGAAATTCATCGTTGCAGTCTCCATCCTCTCGTCGCAGCCGTCATATTCACCTTTCGGTCAAACAGTGGAAAAATGAGATTTTATTGATACTTGGAAGTTCTTCAAAATTGTGACTGTTCGCAGCAGTAGAAAACAAGAACCTACTTCTGTTAAAATTGAAAACCTTGAAACGAGCGTTTGTGATCTTAGTGGGGCAGGTTACATTTGTGAAGAAATTTTATCGCCGACTTAGTTGTTACAGGTCACATTTGTGAAAAGTCACGGTAATGAAAGACATCGTTAATGAATAGTCACAAGTCACGATATTGATGGGAAATTATTTAATTTAAATTGATCTAATAAATAATTAAGTAATTGAGATTTTCAGTATCTAAATAAAGTGTGGACCGAATTATAAGTGTAGATACGTGGTAATTACACGGAACCAGGCCTTTTATTTTACGTTTTAAAAAACCAGGTTTTTACGTTTTTTTTTCATTATCCAGGTTTTAATTTTTTTAATTAAACAATTAANCCAACAAGTGGTAGACATGATGGCTCTTCAATACCGTTCAAGATTCCTTCAATACAATTTTGAGAAGATTTCAAGTCTAAAATTCAAGTATGAATAAGGATCAAGACTTAAAACTCCAGCAAGAGTTTTTTGCACGAGAAAAACTTTTTCGAGAAAATTTTGGACATGTTCTCTTTACTATTTTCAAATCATTTTCAGTTTTCAGTTTTCGAAAACACTAAAAACACTTTCATTTACCTATTTTCAGAAAGGAAATTCCAAAAACGAGTTTAAAATTTTCCAATAAAACAGAAAATGTTGTTTTGGCTGTTTTCGATTAAAATCAAGTCAAAACTTCAAAACGGTTAGATTTTGCCAATAGCGGTATAGCTTAGTTGGAAGAGTCACGAATTTTCCACAATTCAATACAAATGAATTTTTTGATATGCACATTACAAAAAATTTCAAATAAATTAGAAAGTGGCTGAGTTTCAAACCCACTGAACAGCATGGAATTTCAATGCCTCAACCACAATGACAGTCGCTTTTGCTTTGTTATATAAGTAAAAGAACTATATATGTATTGAATAATCAGTTTTTTTCAAAATTAGCAAATGTTTTTTTTATTTTTGAAAATAATTTTTCAAAATGATAAAAAGAACGCGTTTTCAACAATCTCAAAATGGACACTCAAAACACAATTCAAAATGAATTCAAAACTCAAAACTAAAAATTGAAACACAAAGAGAATGACTTCTTAGATTTCTTGTAATCTATAAATTTCTTTATATAAAAAATTATCATATTCAAAATTGTTCTTTATATATATAGGTATAAGAGGTACATAAATTCTCTAATTTTGAATGTCCTAATAATGATTAATATGAATATTTTGAATATCCTAATAATTATTAATAAAAAATAATTTAAATAAAAAAAAAACCTTTGTCACCCCCTTGAAATAGCCTTGTCCTCGAGGACTGAAAAATCGAACAAATAGATTGCAAT